TTATTTTCGAGTTATATTACTAAATTTAGCAAACTTGAGTAATTAACAAAACTTCTAACGCTAACGTGGCCCATGGGAAAGTAGGACAAGTCATAGCATGGTCTAGTCAAACATCAGATCGTCGACGAATGGCGCAGGAACGTTCCACTATTGTGTGAGCGTTATACTTGCGTTTAACACCGACAAAATTGTCGGCCAAGGATGGCCTCGATGCCCGTTGATTCATTCGTTCACAGAACGCGCATGACGCAGACCGAAACACAACAGAATTTTTCAAAAATTGCCTGAAGCAATTATATCCGCTCTATCGTATGATAGGAGAGCTGTTGAAGAAGAACAATAAGTGACACGTCACACTACAGCTCTACTGATTGAACTTAATGCCTGTATACCTCATGCTGGACACCAACAGGAGGAAACACGGCTTGGACTGATGAAATCGCGTCATAAGCAAATTTTGCTTATTGGTATTACATAAAGCAACTGCTTTGTTGATTATATATTTTCACTTATGCTTCAGACAGCTAAACCTGTCAGACGCTAGTCTGGATATCTTAGCAAGATGTCAGATCATTAGGAGAAATGTCTTATTTCTGAAATGACATCTAGATAGAATGTCACCGATTTCCATAAAAAAAGTTAGAAAAAGTCATGGTATCTAAGCACAAAAAATGTTTTTCAAAAGTAAGCAGTACTTGTCGTCGTAACCTACTTGGGCTCTCATAGACATTCGGCGATGACATCGACGGTATAAATAAGCAAATAGATGCTAACGGACAGACGGTTCCGGTAAATACCTCAGACCAAGCGTGGTGTTAGTTTCAGTCAGTTAGTGACCTATCTTCATAAACGTCTGAATAGTCCGTTTCCTGCTTTCCTTGTCTTGTCCAGAAAAAATTGACAGTTTCACCTCATGCACTCGTTGGAACTGATGAAGTTGTGCCATTATGCCTGAGCTTCTTTAGACAAGACAAACGCGTGAGTCGGAATACTACGCCCCTTCGTTTTCTATTCCATTGCTTTTACTTTATCGCAGGCAAAAATCACAATAAGGCACGATCGTTCGTCTTTTTCCTTTCATCCCAATAATAATGGTCGATTGATAAATCGATCGCCGTCGTAATCAGCCAATCCATGTACTTGTGATATTGATTGTACAAATCCGCCGTCCGGGAACCAATGATGTTAGCGACGTCGATTCACCTCTAACACCTACGTGTTCAGGTTTTAAGGCTATGGGCTTCCTTGTCGGCAGACATTAGCACGCTGTCGTCAATTTTCGTGATGCCTAGTAATAACAAGGTACTGTTGTTAATCTTTAGAGGTATAAGATGTATGCAGCATCTGTCGTATATAAAATACGGATTGCGAAAACATAGTTTTTCTCGGTTCTTCTCAACTCGCCGTAGTGCGCCTTTCGTTGGCTTGGCAAGCTACAAAGGTGATAGTGCTCATACCGCGGTTTTAGAGTCGTTTTTGGTTGTGGACGGGCCTTTGCTGGAGAATACTTATGTAATACAATGACGCACACCTTCTGGAATGGAAATATATCCTTGTGCGTTTCACATCTTGGCTGATTTATCGACTAGCTGACCCACAACGCCACCCTATATTTAATTGAACATTTTATTCTTCAGTTCTCTTTATTTCGACTCACAGAGTACGACACTACGTATAGATGCTGAGTATTGAGTGGGACGAAAACCTATATAAAAAGATTGATTCCATCACCAACGAATCGTACCGTAGTTGAAGGAGATTTCTAGTCGTTACCTATTGACATCGGTTTTAGTATTATCAATTCATATAAACATTTTTTTTTCCTTCTATTTTCCTATTTTACGATTGTTTATTATTAATAGGTGCAAAGGACCTAATTAACGCTCATCAATTTATGGTTGTCTGCTTGCTGCCTAAACGACTTCTGCGCGGTAGCTGAGTATAGCTTTGGTAAGGGGCCTACGATGAGCGCTCCATTAGATACGATCTATAAATAATGATCGACGAAGATAATTTTTCTGATGTAATAAAAGGTAATTCTGTAGAGTAAACGTTAGTAGTACTTACGGTGCTAAAAGTTTGTTATGTTCCTTCGTACTATATAGGATTGAAACGACTAGCGAATATCTATGTTAGTTTCTTTCGAATCGATACGCCACGCTTGCCATTAGTATTGCCTTAAATTGCCTTCTATCGATATTTTTCTCGTCCAAAGAAATTATCGGCTGCTTCGACTCAGAGAGCAAAATCGTCTGAGACGCAACGAGTGGCCATCCTCCGCCGAATTTTTGCAGATACTAGGGGTTATATCGCTCGCCGAAGGCAATGGCACCTTTCACGGTGGAATATAATATCAAAATATTCGTTTATTATGAAAGCAGGACTGAATAGAAATTCCGTAGACGCGTTCTCCAACTTACTAAACAACTTTTCCGACTTATACTAGTTTAAGCGAAGTCCTTTTGTTTCAAAAAGGATCTATGACTTGAAGCTTTTGGCCGCTTTTTAAAGTGTGCATTTTTATATTCGAATAGAGTAACTTGGGGTCATAAGATAGAGTTAATAATAAAATTAATAATAAATTCATCGAATTCCCATAGTCAAATGGGCTATTAGGTGGCATAGAATTCGCAGCAATCCTAGTATCGAGTTGGGCTTTTCGGTGAAAGAAAGCGAATATACCCTCAAGTAATGTACTGACAAACCTACCTGAAAAATGAAGGCGGAACAAATCTCGGCGACAAGCTAGCTATGAACCAACAAGTCGACGCATCAAGCCTAACCTTAGTAACTTAAAGACTTCAACAGAAAAATCAATCAGTCAAAAAGTTTTCTCCTGAACTACTAGAAATTTTAAATTTCTTATGTTCGTAAAATGATATAAATGCGAGCTGACACATAGGATTTCGGGGCTGCGGGCTTCCGAATTCTATCTTTCTCTAATAAACATCCTAGCGAGTGAAGTGAGAAAAATCTGAAGTTACGTTCAATGTAAAATTGTTCAACTTACAATGACAAACCGACATTTATGCATTACGGGAAGTACGAAGTGTTTAGCCTGCTAAAACTTTTACGTTCAACCGGCGTAGAATACTGATTTGCCACCTTACTTTAGTTACTTTTTCAACAATACTATATAATCGTAGACTAATTCCTTTTACACTAGTTACAAACAATGATACTAGCATTACCGTCGTACTATTATGCATTCGCCCCCGGTCGATGCTACTGGATCTGATAATTTTATCGCTCACCACGGCGTACAATTAAATTACTCGGTAATGTGTTATCCGTTACGTACTTTCTAGGTCGATAAACACCGCCTGCCACAGGCAAGCTGAGTTAATCGAACCTATCAGAGATCTGAAACAATTTAATGTCGAAAGGATGTACCGAGTCCATTGTGTCGTTGCCACATATTTGTGTGTGGAACATCATTGTAGCAGCGTCATTAACGATTCCTAGCTGCTTCATGTTGACGCTGTCTACTAGTGCTTGAACAGCCTGACGCTTACTTTTGCTCTTGTATACTCTTCCGCTGACCGAATTCTTGATCGTCAGTGATACCATTGCAGTCAGCGGCCAGATTTCTGGCCGCGGGCGACAAACACCGGTGCCGCGAGCCAAAAAGAAATCGAGCGGCAGGCCCAAGTCGAACACATTCAAAACTCAACGGTGACGAAAACAAGATGGCATGTGTAGTTTTGTTATCGTTTCTGCCGAGTCGCTGCTGCTCACATGAAGGTATCTCTATCAGTGCTTGGCTCTACATCGATTGATTCTGCTAAAAGCTTAAATCCAGCGCTGACAGAAATCGTACTTCAGACAAATATCGGGCGGACTCGGTTTGTCAGCGGCAAGAACACCGATATTTTGCGAAGAAAGAAGTACGGGAAAAGTTTGTATATTTTTCGAGGTCTGCTTATGAAAATCGAGTTAGAATGTTGCTTGATGGCGGATCAGTAAGTACGTGCTTCGTACAACTAGCACATCGATCAGGACGCGTGCTGCATAACAGGCGTACAGCACAAGAGCCAGCCTGAGCCATCTTGCTTTACCGTGTCGAGTGTGTGACAATGATGCCTCATAGACTCTCAACAACACATTATCATTTACAGATCTAATACACACTTTAGGCTAAAGGTACACCATTACAGGGTGTATTTGCTTGATCCAGCGGCTATCTACTTGTTGTTGCTGGTGTCGTCTGTTGACTGACGATAACCACTCGAATGTAGGACCGTGCGCAACTATTTCATTATAAAATAATAGACGCAACCGCTGATCTGAAAATATATCCATAGTATTAGTTCCTGTCCATTAGAATGACCACGACGTTTACCGTTTTTGTGACTATAGTGAATGAGCCTTGGTTCGTTGCCAGAACGCGTGTTTGATATCGAGAAATATCTATCGCAAAAAATTGACGCAGAGAAAGTTGAAGAAGACTGATTATTCTGTACTTCGGAAGAGGGATTCCTACCGCGATAGAGTTACTTCAAGAGTAATAACATCTGTCTTGGCCTGTCATCGACCGCAGCGTTGGCTCAACCACTGTTCACAATCTGCGTACAGACAAGCGTTGCCAGAAGACCGATCGAAAGTGAATCCTCCATATAAATCGTCAAATAGATTATACGGCCGATAAATTTACAAATAGTCTATTCGTGCGCGTGTCGTATACATAACGTATATGCAGGTGAAATTTCCTGTCGTCGTACCCAGTTTCCGGAGTGCAGCCGAAATGTACGAACGGCTACGCTAATGCCGTGATGACATCGTCTCCCATATTTCCTAGATATTTTTACAACTTCAAACCGCTGACATATACCTATTTATCTAAACGCCAAGAAGACCATTTAAATTATCACTGCCGTTATCATAGTTGTCGAACCGGATGGGAAGGCTCGCAACTTCGCTTCGCTCTTTTTACACGTACTTGCCTATCTTGTTAAATTTTCAATATAGAAAACTATATGGTTCAGTTTGTTTAAGCGTACCTCCTTTGTGGCCGCCTTCACATTTTGGCCGACTTTAAGCGTGATTGTCAGCATCCTGCGCCTATGTGTGTGACTTCGTCTTCTTGCTGATACTGTTACTCTCCTAAGCGTGTTCCGTATTACCGGCCGTCTTCAGTATGTCTATTTTGTGCGAAGTACACTTCACATTTAACTCTTTTTCCTTTGATCCTTTCACTTGTCACGTTACACAAATACACGGACAAACACACGTATAAGCGAAGACAACGCCGTTCTCGTTACTAGCCACTCACATCTGCCGCTGCACGAAATCAGTCAGCTTCCGTCTCAAGAAAACGTCAACTTCGACGTCGAGAGAAAATCCGTATTGACGGACTGAACGCTGATCATAAGATACACTTCCGTGTGCTGTTGTCTCCTCGGATTCTCGTTAAACACCCAAAAGTTGATTGTAACCGCCAACGAATAGAGCTTCGACCTTTTCTTCAACCGAATGCTCCAGCAACTTTTGGGCTAAATGCGACGGCAGGCGGAGTTGAACACAGTGGCCGATTACCTCTGACTGCCGTTGAAAAAAGCCGTTGCACCGTGCAATAACAAGTCGTTCTTTTCCCTGAGCCGCTGCTTTGCTATAAGCGTGTTTCGTTTGCGACTTGTTTAGGCTAATATTCCTTCTATTGCCGCTGTTGACCACCACAGAAACAGATCACGGCACAGCAACGTAATCGACAAAACATTAGTTTGTTTCTCATCAGCAACTGAGCGACGACCACTGCGTCAACAACCAAGCAGAAGCATCAACGGGACCAACGACGGGTTACTCTTGCCACTGGGTCATCCTCAACAATATATACCACCGGATTACCTTCTCACCCACTGACGAGCGGCCGCATCCGAGGGGTTTTCACTCACTCCTCAGCGTCTTCAGCGGTGCCAGTCGCGGCTGCACCAGCCACAGCAGTCACAGTGCAATGGATGCGGCAGCAGCAGCGGCTGCACCCACAGAGCTCCACTCAAAACCATCAGCACTAACACGAATACCGCGATCGAGCCTGACTTCACCGGCTCGGCTGACAAACGGCCGGCTGACTGAGCTTGAGTGAAGCATGTGCTCGCGCGCACGTACGCCACCATCGCCACTTCGTTCTATGAAGTGGCTGGAAGAGACGAATGAGCACCGGCTTCGCTATCAGAAGCAGTAGCTGGTAGCATTAGCGCTACGTGAAAGAGAACTAAAGCTACAGCGAACGGGACGTACACCGCGAAGCGAAGAACAACCCTCGAAGTTCATTAGACCTCCTTAGCCCGCCGCTTCAATTTCACAGAGGTACAAGACCAGAATCGCACTCTGCCAGCTTCGAGCGACTCGTGTATGCAGAAGGGCATCGGCAAGGTCATATCGGCGATGTCATGAGGGAACAACGAGCAAAACGACAAACACGGGGGAATGAACATTCGTGCAAATATACGGAGTACGAGTGTGTACACACGGGTCTATATACAACATAGTATGCGTGACTAAACGGGTTATTTTGAAGGTTGAAGATGCAAATGTTACCTGGCTATACTTTTGTGGATATGGCTTTTATTTCGCCAGTATATCTATGAAGGGAAAACGGATTTGTTTTAATGAAACGTACCTTTAAAGCGCCTGTCTTGCATTCTCTCGGGCATACGATCGTGATTCGGTACCCTAACAAAGACGGGCTTTGAATATTTAGAAAAAAAAAATTGGATGTGGCTATCATTTACGAAAAGGTGTATTGCAGGTCGGCAAATGAAGGGGTATGACGTCGCATGCGTGCACTTGGGAACTACAGGTGTCTCTCTCAGATATATCTGCTTGTACTTGTTTTAAGCCGGTCTCTTGTCGCCCCCTTCAGCGTCCTGCTTCGATGATCCATCTTATCAACACAAGCAAATAATGCACTAAGGTGATTTATGAATCATTATAAAGGCTTATTGCCGACATTATTTTTACCTGTATTTCCTTAATGTGCTTCAGTAGATGTCCTGTGATTTTCTGTTACATTATTAGAGTAATAATTACTATTAGGAAATGAATTTAAAGCTTACTTTATTGTCATTGGGCTAGTAGAACGGCATCTCGTTCAACAGAGACCTTTATTGATGCTGAAACTGATGAAAATATATTTCCCATGTTAGAGTTCTTTCTGACCGCTTAAGAAATGTTACTGGCTTCAGAGTGTGCGTAACAAGTACGCAGCAAGGATTCGTGGTTGAAATTTCGAGCCTATCTCATAAATAATTTGTACAGGTAACTACTGGCCTATTGCAGGAACATATGCTAGGGTCGAAGTTTCTTCAAGCGTTTAATCATAGCTTTATAGGAAACATTGAAGAAGTCTGCCAAGTAGAAAGTGTTGAACGCGAGTGTTCAGGTGTGGTAATATGCCGCATCCCATAAACGTATTGCGTCACTAACATGACTTCGAACTCGTGGAGATTTCGCAAAACTTGTACGTCCCGATCCTTTGTCCCTCTAAGCTAGTTCTGTAGGAAAACGAACGAAAGTTTCGTATGGTATTAGACATGCGTTGACTAACTAGTTATTTATGCCCAGTAGGATGTTACAATCAATATCGTTACTATGGCCATCGTCAAAATAAAGAAAAAACAAAGTAGACATTCACTTCTATTTACAGCACAGAAGCACAGACTCGCAAAAAGGCGGAAGTTTCATTAAAAAAAACCAAGCGATTACGAAACGGGCATTTGGCCCGTAGATAGTATGGTGGTAGGGTATATTGCTTTTGGCTGAACATATATATCTCGATGGCTTAAAATCATTATTTATTCAAATTGCAAGCTAACTAGTGACAGCCTGTAAGTGTAGCATGCTTTTGACAAACACATATAGAACAAGGTACGATGTTAACTGTGTAGAAATAAAATATAGTACTTATTGTACCCTATGACACTCATTTTCGTTATTATGAAAACTAGCGGGAAATCCTGGCGCGTTGTTTGCTTCGTCCGAAATCCCTATGTGCAGCGCGTATACTTTTATTATGTCAACTACTCTGCGTTACTATGATGACTCATTCTTGTAGAAGTGCTAGCAATGAATTGCCACGTTTATCCATGCGGCGCATTTCAAGGAAAAATTTTGACCGTTGTAGCGTCAGATTAAGGGGTGTATTGTTATTTTTTTCGTGGTACTTCTGAGAGGGCCCAAACTTATGAACAGGCCATCTAATTTTGTTTAGCCCATGATAAATATCGTTCTGAGCGCTAATCCTGAAGAACTTCGCCTGTGAATATTTACAAGGTTGTTATTTAGCTCCATTGAAGGAAGATGGTGTTTTCACAAGATGCAAAGCCATTGAGTTGTCGCCACTTCCTCTTCACTTTAAAAATACAGAAAATGAAAGAAAACGCAATTTTACGAAAGAAAGAAGACAATTTCAAGGGTGGGCTACACCTATATAGACGACTTTCCTAGGCAACAAAGATCCCGTATTTGTGACGTACCAAGTCACCGGTCTAGTTGTCGATCGGCAAGTTTGTCCCTATTAATAACAGGTTATCGTAAGATTTGTGATACGAACTTACCTACACAACATACAAACGAATGAAATGAAGTGAAAAAAACAAACCAAAAAACCAATGAATCTAATTTACCATGAGGAGGTCTGTGTGGAAGCCGACTAGATGAACATGAGCTGTCTTTTTTTTTATTTGATTTTTCCTCTACTTCAGTTGTATGACCGTTGATTAAAAGCGTTTTTGTTTTTGGACAACGTACCCTTATTGATATATCACCAAAGTCAAAGAACGCCACTCGACGCATGTAAAGGACACTAGCACAGAAGCACACCTTATCCTACTTATTCGACTGAAGAAATAGTAGGTTGATATAACCTTTTGCCTAAATTCAGCACGAAAAATCACTGGCATTTTACGTTGCATTCTTGGCCTTATCACCTCACGCAATATTGTTGTCCAACATAGCCATACGGGTAAACCTAACCGATTCCAAACAGTCGAACTCGAGCTAGTTCGTAGCTGTTATTATATTCCTCACATACGTAGCATATTGTACGTTGACACATTTCTGTAAAATTCTTCGCTTCTAGTATTTCAGCAGGCTTCTTTAGATCGTTTCAGGTGGCCTGGCTAAGAGCGCGGATAAATCTGTCCTTCGCTGGTGTACAGGATCAGCGAACGTTGGTCACCGGCGGCAGTTAAACATTACTTACGTATACAAAACATCGTATGCCTGTATTGTTGTACAGTGGATCTTGTCTAAACGTGGAACTAGCGGCGGAGAAGTTTTTCCTGCTTCATAAACGACGGCTTTACTGCAGTACCATGGACCGAGCCCCGGACGCGTAACAACGGACGCGAATAGCATTGAAAAGCATCTGGCGCAAGTGGCCGTGACTCATCAGCAACGACGATGCGTTGATCTGAACTCGGGCTAACTAGCGGCTGAGCTCACCCTATCACTTTCGGATCAGCTGAACAATGTATCGCGAACGAACACTTAACCGGACGTGACAAATCACCAACGCTGAATCAACTTGGCAGATGTTAGCAACGAAAGGCTCTAGCGAACGGGAAGACTATCTTAGGTGATTCAAGCGACATATTTGGATTTAACTGATGATGCAGTAAATGCCGTTAAGGAAACAAACTAAGTGAGTCATTCCTACCATTGGCATTTCATTTCAATGGAATTAAGTCAACTTCAGCATCTATTTATGCTCTAATTATAAGCTCATCGCTGAATTTTAGACCTCTACACGCTGTGATCGACTAGGATCTTGATATCACAACGAGAACAAAGTTACCAGGTGTTCAGAAATTTCTTCGTTTTTATTCTATCGTAAACAGGTATCCTGTGAAAGTCTCTATTTTTGCAGTTGCTACAATCGTAAATTCTATGTCTTTGATCCTATTTTATAAATTTTGTAGCGTAACGTCCTTCTTCGCATCAAACTAATTCTAGAACTGCAACTAATGTACAAATAGCTCAAGCATATAAAGACTGCCCTGGATATCAACGAGATCCATCATGTATTGCAGCGTAACCGTCAGCACGGCCGAACAAAGTTTACAGACCGCATATCTCACCTGGCATTATCAAACCTATATTTCTGTGTATGTTCCGCCAAGGCGCTTTGGGGATAAGCAGCACATTGTAAAAAAGAGAACAGGATGTAGGAACAAAACTAGTTATATTGACATAGCAGGATATCGAAAAAGCAGAAAGCTGCTTATAAGCACGCCAAGGCAAATCAGTGTGTGTCATTATCAGTTCGTTATTCCTAAAAAGGCCATACGTCTTTGAATTTGTGTACGACAACTTATATGACACTTACGACAACTTATATTACACTTACTTTTCAGCATTTATTTGGCGGGCCCACTATTCAAGATACGATACGTAGTTTTACGTAAAAGGATACAACGTTCTTAAATAATTATAAAAGTAGCGTGATATATTTGCTTCATTCAGGTTACATATTGCTATGTAGTCTTTAGCCTTTAGCTGTTAAGTGCGACCTATAATTAGCACTATAATAAAGTTGAGGTGTTTTGGATAGGGCAGTATTGTAACGGCTGCGTACTTAACTAGCGTGTTCTCGCCTTTTGTCTAATAACGTTTTCCATAGTCAGCTTGCAATTTTTAGAATAGGCCTTAATACGGCCATTTTAGCATTGCTAAAAGATCTGAAAAGGTGGGGGGATTCATGTGAACGACTCACAATAACCGGCGACGAAAAGGTATTAACTTTTTCTGCTGGAGAATCAAGGTGTATTCCCCAAATGTGTGTGCTTTT